AAGGCACAAGGCAAATGAAAAGGCGCCGGACGACGGCATCCACTTTTGCATTGATTTGCACTGGCTCGCACAGGCATGGGGACCGCTGGGGATTTGATGAGCATCGACGCGCTTTGCTCGGCACACAGGACGACTGCATCACGCACGTCACAGCCTTCACCGGTTTTCAGGGCTCAAGCTCCTGCATTTGCACATCTGAGGATTGCAGCGTAGAACCCCATGCAGACAGCCCCAGCCGGCGGAGCCGCCTTCAGATTGACGATGGCGGTCGCCTTGCACATGGGACAAGCAGCTTCTTGCGCGTTTGGGCGCTGGCGAGCCTGATTGTCGGGCCAGGACCGCTGTCTGTTTCATGAGGACTCAGCTCCTCCGCAACCGAGACGATGGTTAGAGGCAGGGATCCTAGTAAGCTGGACCAGGGCAGACGAATCGTGACCCGTGGAGGAGGGTGAGGTGACCAGAGCTGTTAGTTCGTAGCCGGCGCGTATTTCAGGTGCAATCGACGTGCTCTCGCGGCCCATAGACTATGCAATGCTCCATCGGCGGCTCTCGCGACTCCATGAACGACAACCTTGTTCGTTAGTTAGAGCTGTACCATGGCATTTGCTGTTTTGGTTCAAGCGTTGGGTGCGCGGGTCGGGTCTGGCACCATGATCTTTTCGCGAGGCTGCCAGCCGGCAGAGATCGCCTAATAGCACCACTTCAGCTTAGCATGGTGGGAAATGAACCGCAACGTCCCGCATGCTATACCTTCGTCCCTCGAGCATGTAAAGCGATGTGAAACTGAAGCGGTGAGAGCTTTGCCGAATGTGTGAGGACAGGGACATTATTTGCTCAATGGGGGCGTAAGACGCAGTATAGCCGGTAATCTTGATGAATAGGGAGCTCAATCCAGCGGCCTCCAGGGCCGTTGCTCGCTTCGGCACGTGTCTGCGTTGGATGCCGTCGAGCTCTTGCAGCTTGGGTCGCGTCGGCTGATGAGCGCGTCTAGGGTGTAGAGAAGATCAAGCGAGATGACTTGACTTGACTTGCAGCTTGCAGATGTGGCCCCTCTCCGCGGCGCTGGTGTTTGTTGACAGGCGACGGCCTACGAGCTTGATAGTTCAATAGCCGTAGGGCTAGACACTCGATTTCGTCCGACAAAGACCTGTGCGTTGAGACATGACCAATCCAGCGCTCTGTAACGTACGAGCGCGCCAGTGATCACCGTTGGCCCGCCCGGAAAGGTTCAAAGCGCGATGGGATTAGTGCGGGATGTTGAGAAATGAGAGGCACGTGCTGGGCAGCCGACTTAGCTTCGACGCAACCATGCGTTTGTTGTCCAAGCAGCAAGGTCCAGGGAGGCTGCATCGCGTGGAGCATCGCGGGTGGGTCACATTGAGACATTCATGGATGGAGGTCGAGAGCACTTTGCCGCGACCCGCTGATGGCGCGATTCAGGCGATTGCTCGGGCTGGACTGGTTCTCCCCTTCCTGAGGTTGTGGAAACACCGCAGTAAGCCCGCCGGTACTTACCATCTGGATAGATCTACGGCGAATGGATTACCCTTTCGGAACACATGGAGATGCCACACTCAGATCAAGATCATCGGCATGATAGAGCTGGTGCTGGTGTCGCGCTCGCCGAAATGACGTACCCAGAGAACAGCCTCTTTAGGGAGACTCGACGTCGGCGTCCCCGCAAACAGGTCGCCGGGAGGAAGAGGCAGGAATCACACGGCAGGATAATTCGAGTAGGATCACCTCACGCTGCAGATTATGTCCGTCACAACGGGCATGGCTTGATCGAAGGATGCAATCACAGTCGGGCACGTGCGGGATCCACTCCTGTCGCGAAAGCTATCTGATTCGGTTGGGGAGCTGATCCTTCGTCGACTACACCCACTCTCTGTCGCTTACATGGCATGCATCGGTCAATATTGCGATATGCAACAGCCGCATCTGGGCAGCATCCTCTGTCTCTTTCACCTCTACCTACACTACCTCATCGTGCGCCAAACCATCACAGCCTCACCGCCGTGGCAGGGCTGTACCTCTATCTTCCATCTTGCGCGGGGCAGTTGCACCAGATGCCGGCCCAAACGAGACTAGCGTGGTTGCTTCCCGTGCCTAAAAGTAGCTCCACCCACATGTCTGCCTCCCGGCTAATCCTCCATGAGGCTGAACCGACAAAGTCTGCCTCGCCAAAACTGTCATCACCAGCAGCACATCATCGCGACTTCTTCACTATTCGTCGCAATGACGGCATCGTCTTTACTAGCAATCAACTTTTGAATCCCGATCGCGGTATGCACCGGCCGGAAGAAGGTTTGCAGGCAGCCATGTGCCATCGCAGCCTGGTCTGCTTCCACATGTGCCTGGCTCCGCCATGCCCAGAATACTGAGCATCCACATGCCCTCCGAGTCTGCTGCCTTCTCTTCGACGTGCCTCTCATGTTGCGACACCGGCACCTACGGGATTGTACATCGCACATCTTCGCTTTCTTCCCATTGGACGAATGAATAAGCCTTCAGCAAGTCCCCCACCCCCACCCAACCTGTAAGCGCCGCCCAGCAAGCCACCACTCAACCACTGTCTCCCATCTTCCCATCGTGTTTCTTGCCTGGGAGAAAGAGCCTCAGGCAAACCACCTGACTCAGCCCTATGAGAATTTCGAAATAGAAGGATTGGCTGAGGCGATGCTTCATGTGCTTGTCAATTTACACATTTCGTTCCTCGCAGCCTCAGCTCACTAACCCTTTTTGGATTCGCGAGCTACTCGAAGCACTCTCTACTGCCATCACTTGCTACATTGCCGCCCTACTACTGCAGCTTACGTCTTTTCGATAAAGGAACAGCTACTTACAAGCGAGTTTTGATAAATCGTCTGCTGTGACAGCCACTCTGGCTACTTGTTAGTACTGGAACCAACACGACTACATGCTCGGGAACCAATCCACGGTTGAGAGCCGGCGCTTAGAAGTACCTCCGGCCGAACTGCCGGCCAACAAGACATACTGAAACTTTCAAATGCACTAACAGCGGTCGCAGATATGGTCGTTGAAATGCGCAGGTCAACGTAATCCCAATACGACCTTGTAAGAGCGGATACCGCGGGGCAAGACATGACAGTGTAGACTGATCATTCGGTTCATCGGCTGCATATACGGCTATACAGAGAACTAGGCCTTCCAGACATTACATACCCCGAGATGAAGTCGCTTATGTCTCTGGAAGGCGTTGCGAACCCGTGTTACAGAGTGAGACAACATACCTCACTGCGTAATTGCTATCAAAGGTCGCAGTAACGGCCATCACATGGTGTGAGTATTGAACGACAAGCCCGCTAATGCATCGCAAGCAATACACTTATGCAGCAACGAGGCGATGCAAAGACGTTTCAGAACCAACACCGTACTACCATCTAGTATGGCCGTCGGTTAGAAGAAGACCTGCGAGACCCATCACCCAACCCCGCGCATACTACGGCTCGAGACTCTGCGGCGCAGTCATATGGGTGCGGCAAAGTGCGTCAGGACTTCTGATCTGACGGATTGTAGCTGCGGCGTAGCTATCTGGCCTCAGCCCTCAGGTCCCATCCCGTCATCGCATGTCAGGCACAGGCACACGGGCGTAACTGTGCCTCTACGGGAACGTCCGCGACAGTCAGACGCTGCGTTCCGAACCTTCTCACGCCGTGCCTCATGCGAACTGGCCGCCGCTGCCGCTCTTTGTGTCTCATTGAGTGTGTGCCGCAGTGGGACCGACGGTTCCTTCCACACAACGCTGGGCGGGAGGGCGAGCTCTACTGTGCCGCAAGGCCGCAGAGATGCGTGACTGGAAGACATCGATCGCGGTCACCCGGACTCATCAGCGTCCTCTTTCATGACACATTTCACCGGGCGAAGTGAGAACGGACGGCCCTACTCCGGTATCGAGTAGATGGGTCTTTCTTCTTGCCACGTCGCTTTGGGTTTGACGTAAGAGTTGTGGGCTGTTGGACTGTGGTGGGTGCGTTGGAAGAGTTTTTGATTCACGCGCTCAACTCTTGTTTTCCGCGGATCGACAAAATTGACGTAGTGGATGCATAGCCAGTTCTTGGAATCAGTGCGATCTGATTGAGAGTATCCAGGTGTGTGCGACTGCCCTGCCGGCTCTAGGAAGTAGTCTCGAGCCGGTGCATTCAGTGTTGAAGTTGAGTACATGGAACTCTCGAGCTTCGAGTATCTCTCTTTTGGCGCATATCCAATGCATCGCACCTTGATCATGAACAGACTTCACGATACGTTTTCTCATCACTTCGATCAACCCTTTCCTATCTTTAGGTAAAGTAACGCTGGCATGTGTCGTGTCGTTGAACCTTCACGCACAAACAATGCTGCGCTACATAAATTCGGCATGATGAGTTCCTCCTTCTTACCTCGCACAATTGTTCTTCTGCATCGCATCAAATCTGTTCATCTTTCGCTAACATTCGCTGTATTTAATCTCACTATACTCACTATACTCACCACTCCGCGACGTGCCCTTAGCAGAAGCCATGCCACTTACCAACTCAATCTTCGCGTTGGTAAGTAGCCAAAGAACACTGTAGTAAACCGATACATGCTAATAGTCTTCAGCTCTTCTTTGCGCTATGCCTCGCAATACAAGCCAGTCCCGTCCCCGCTACGCTTCCCACTCGATACAAATCCCCATTTTCAGTCCTTCTCCAACGCGAAGGCGACAAAAACGACAAGGATTTCACAGTCCTAGAAAAGTCGATCTTATATACGGTCATCTTTCTCAGCTTGACAATACTGTGCCTATGGCTTCTCATAGGCATCATAGTTGCGATCGTGCGGAGGAAGAACGACAAGACATTTTGGGGTAACTTCAAGGATGGGATGCAGTTAAAGAAGGATGTGGGTTACTTATGAGAAAGTATCGCGAAGGAGTTGCTACTTGGTGGGATGGCGAGGGATGGGACTGCATGTATTGTAACATAGCGACAAGTGGTCTTGTGCTCTTATTCTCACAACTAGTCTATTCCCTGATTTACGTCCTCGTCCATCTCCTCGTTCATTTCCTCGTCCACCCGCTCGTTCACCCACTCGTTCACCCGTCCGTTCACACACTCGTTCAATTCTTCGTCCACCTCGTACATCTCTTCCTCCACCTCTTCGTCCATCTCCTCGTCCAGCTCTTCGTTCATCTCCTCCTCGTCGTCGTCAATGATAGCCTTGCTACGCCGCAGTGAACAAATCTCTTGACGGCAAACAGGGCACTTATTCGCATACGCATCAATGCCGTTGATCAACATCGTCAAGCATTCATAGTGATAAATGTGTCCCCCGCTGCAATGCACACGCATAGGCATTTGCAGACACAGCCCTTCGACTACAGCAAGCGCGTCGCCACATATCGTGCAAGTAGCGTCTGGCCCAATCTCATCTGCTGTGCGTACCGGTGAAGAGCAGATACGCGCACTTCGTCGCGGACTATCCGGCTCCCTGTTCACATCCTCCATGAACCAAAGCGCATCCTCCTCCTCCTCCTCGAGCGGTGGGATAGTCAGCTCACCATAGGAGAAACGGTCCCCATCCTGGTCTTCCCAACCGCGAGGAAGGAAATTAGCAAGCGGCGTCGGATTAGTAGCGAAGAAACCTTGCCATCGGAATGGACTACGCATGACTTCGGCCACTGCGTTTGCAATATCGAAGTAGCGGAACTGGTTATGGACATCAAGCCTGAAAGCACCCTTTACGCAATGCGCCATCCAGTGATGGAGACGCCAGGCTAATTCCTGCCGTACAGGAGTTGTCTTCGCAATGGCAAAGGCTTGGTCCAACAGTGAGCGTGCCAACACCATTACATCAAGGCGCGCCAAATCACGCCTCTCAGCCAGTGGAATCATGCTGAAAGGCTCTGATACGATGGAACGGGTGTACATGATTGAATCCATGTAAAATTCGTGGGCAGTTTCCTCCGTAACCGTGAAGTCGCACTTTTGGAGGAAAGCAGCGGCACGCACAGCGATCTCCGAGAGCACAGCTAGCGTATTCTTAATCTTGTCCGGGTTTACAGTATCAATCTGTTTGCGTATCGCTTCGATAAAATGTGTCTCCGCATCTCGGTGTATGGCTATCTCCATTTCTTTTTCTTTTTCCTTGGTCTGCACTGCACATCGTGGCTGCAGTTTTATGATGTATTTCAATAGCTCTTTGAAGCCTCCATGTCGAATGAGGGTTCTCAGCGTAAAACCTGTCTGCTCGCCAACGTGATAACAATAGCTCTTAGAGGTTGTCACTAGCGTTAGACGGTCATGTTCCGGGAGGTTGCGGATGAGTTCGGTGGCGACGTCGTAGTGGGAGGGGAATCTTTCAAGAGTATTGGTATCAGGATGCTGCGTATGGAGCCAGCTACGGAGGTCGTACCATTCTTCAGGTATGACAGTGGCGTCGAGGAGCGTTACAAAGGCATCGTCAGTGCGGCATTGAAAGGCGTAGTCAACGAATATTTGGTAGGCTTGCAGGACTCTGTATCCTTCCTCTGGGGTCTTTGTGTGGGATTGTAGGATGTTGATGAGGATAGGTAAAGGGGATTGAGGCGTTCTCGTCGCCATGGTCGTGGATTTGTCTTTTGGTGTCGCTTGCGTCGGAGTGAATGACATGGTCTCGTGAGGTATGGAGCATATGTAGTCATTGAAATGACATTGTAGATCGAATTGTCAAGCACATTGTCTAAGAGGTAGGTAAGCTCACAATGCTATGGGTTCCAACTACCGTTGTTGTTTTTGTTGTGCTGAGCCACGAAGTTGATGAGAATAAGTACATCTGAATCGACATAAAACTAATCTACTTCGCAGCATACATTGTCGCATCGGTTGTCACATAGCGTAAGAAGCTATCAATGTCATCTGCAACCCCAATGACCTGGATGGCTTGATGCTTTAACGAATGAGCGTAGGTTCCTCGAGGATTGCTGACTGTCAACAGGACCGCGTGTTATGAACCGGCGGCGCAACAGTATATTGTACCTGCGATTTCTCTTATTTGTAAGAGTATCTTTTTGTCTAGGTAGTTGATGTCGTAGAAGTTGTAAGTGGCTTATTTCGCTCTGCGTTGTCGCAGTACTATAAGATGAAGTGGATGGCAACCAAGAGATAGAATCGCAAGGATAGTTGAGTGGACGTCGACGCCTGGGAGGATGCTAGAAGAAGACAAACAGGTGAGAAATTAATGACCCAGACTAACTTCGCACAGTTTCTGGTGTTTTGCGTGATGTCGCCGGAAGCCATGCTTAGGTCGGTTGTCCACTGCACCTATTGTTACTTGACAGGCCATAGACGAAAGCCGCTCACAACTTTGTCAACAAAATACCTTGTAGAGACCAGCAGGCTGTGTGAGATGATAAGGATCGCAAATCCCAGAATCGAGTCCATATCGACAACCGCGCTTGGGCTGAGTGGCCACGACTGCGGATGGGGTGACACTTCGTGAGGTTGAGACTGAAATATTTTCCTTGTCCGGAGGGTCTGCGAAGTCAGAAAGATACCTAGGTAATATCACCCACGCAGGGGCAGACGAATGCATAGATGCATTTCAAACGGAACAGTGGAGGTATTTCGTGCCGGCTCCCACCAAAAAGTAAAATTTTCCGCAAGCTGCGGCCGTCGCTGAGCTTGGGGAGTTCAAGGGACTCGGAAACTCCCCGTAAAAAGCTCCCGGTGTTTGATTGCCAGGGGCACGTAAGCTCGGAAGATCCCCACGTGAACAGCGCGAAAACGTGACGCGCTCAATGATTGCCAAAATGTCTCTGCGCAAGCGGTCTGTAATGGGTGCATCAGAGTCAGCTCCCTTAGCTCAACCTGCCGCCTAGGCTCTGGTCCTTGTCATGACCAACGTGAGAGTCGTGATTGGTACCTCGGGAGGTGAACAGATTGCGATTGGTGCTGGCAGGCATGTATCGAGCTCAACATTTCTTTTGCGCAGTGGCTTTGTCCCATGTCACTGCGCCATCACGAGCGAAAGCGCCACGTTGTCGCGTTTCGGGGTTAAGGTTGGCGCTAGCGTCGATGATCGTCGTCGGTACGGGGCTCCGCGATAGCGCAGTGACGTCGCTGGTGAAGACCTTTCCCCTTCTGCCACCAGGCAAGCGAAACGCCAGTCCACCTAACGCCATCGAGCGAGAACGCGGGATTTCAACTTTCGCATCATTTCCTGGCCAAAATTCGATCGCAATGCGAAACGCAGAGCCGCCGATCTCAATCAGCCGGATCGACGCTGTGAATCTAACCGAACCGTATCTCCATGTATCGAGCACTAGCAAACTGCGGATTTTCCGATCCGATCCTGGTTGCCATCACGGCACATCACGGCTCATCATGGCACATTGGCGAGTGTGCCAATATTTCCTGCAGCATCCTGACGTCGGTCATATCGCCAGCACTGTGGACTCTGCAAGTTCACAGCGAACGCCCTGTACAGATAGCATTAGGCTAACTGGCAGCCTGTTCTGATCCCGATGGGGCCGCATAGGCATCCCAGGAGCCCCTGTGCACTACCAGAGTTCGGCGAGGGTGAGTACAAATTCTCCGTCGAATAAGAGAGCCGGCGCTATTCTACCTGCCGATTCTGCAAGCTACTGCATAGTGCACCAAGATATGATGTATCTATTACCGTCACCTAACCCCTGCTCTATGTACGGGAGATGTGTAGGCCATAGGAGTCTGCTTCGAGAACTCTATCAGATTCGTTCTCAGATTCATTGCGATGGTTCAGAAATTGCGACTGACACGTTACGACAGCTCCACCCATCCACACTTCTTCGATGACAGGAGACCGCGCTCACCATTGTGGCTTGATCGAACCCAGTGAGTGTTAGCTGCTGAGAGCAAATGATAACGCCTCCTTTATCATCGCGATCACTACCTTGAATCTGGGGAATTCACCTTCGATCCAGGTGAATCCCTGGCGCACTGTGTGGATACAAGTGGGTCACTCGAGTTGTGCTGAATACCAAAACCCCACGATTTTGACTCGCTTTCAAGCGCTTGGCCGCGGAGCACCACGACTCAGGTAAGTAATGGGTAATCCGGAAACATCTGATTGGGTTGCTGCGCTCTGCTTCATCCATGTGTGGATCTGTAGCGGCATGGCGTTTTGACTAAATCTCCCCCAGTTCTAGCTGGCGATCATGATGACAACCGTACGAAAATGGAAGCGCGACACACTTCTTCGGCGACTGTTGATGAAGATCATACTCAACTTGGACGGTGCCAACAGATACCATCCATGCAGGCCTTACCGGAGCGGTGGAGAGGCTTAGGAGCAGCTGCGCGGAGTAGAAGTGTATAAATCCTCTTCACCGTGTGTTCCACATCAGTTCTTCAGCCAGAGCCATCACTTGCTCCTTCTCCCCCTTTCTCCTCACACAGACAATCTTGTGTCACCGACATCATGAGGTTCACTCAATCAGTTACTCTGGCGTTGCCAGCCCTCGCTGCCGCATACCCCGGCATGATGGGCGCGAACTCCCGCCCAGAGATGGAGGAGTTCCTGCGCGGGGAGATCAAGCGTGAACAACTTGCGAACCGCGCCGCTGAACCTCAGCTGCTCAACCCAGTCGGAAATCTGTTGGGCTCGCTTGGCGGCGTTGTTGATGGGCTCCTGTCCTCAGTCGGACAGGCCATCGTCAAGAAGAGCAACCTGCGTCCTGAGCCTGGCTACGAGTTCAAGGCGCCTGGTCCCAACGACTCTCGTGGCCCCTGCCCAGGTCTGAACTTGCTCGCCAATCATGGTTATCTCCCCCGCAACGGTTACGTCACCTACGGACAGGTTTTGGAGGCCACTGGGCGTGGATTCAACATGGGTGTAGAACTTGCCACAGTTCTAGCCACATTCGCTGTCTTGGGCAGTGGAGATTTGGATGGCTTGTCCTTCTATCTCGGCTCAGGAAAGAACGGAATCGGTGGTCTCAACAGGCACTCTGTTGTCGAAGCTGATGTTTCACCCAACCGCGAAGGTATGTCCTCTCACACTCCAAAGTAGAACCTGAACACTAACATTGAGACAGATTACTACATGGGATGTGGTGACAACCATCATCTCTCTTCCCGTCTGGTGAAGCAGATGGTTGGGTATGCTGCCCAAGACCCCAAGAAGGAGTTCTCCATGGATGTCATGGCCAAGCACTACGCTAAATCGGCTGGTTTCTCCAAGGACAACAACCCCTTCCTCTACTACTTCCCTTTCCCCCAGATCGTCTCAGTCGCCGCTTTCTCCTTCTACCCCCAGTTCTTCTCCAACGGTACCTACGGTGCGGGTGGTGTGCCCAACTACAAGAGCATTATGAGCATCATCGGTGCCGAGTATGATGAGAAGACCCAGGAGTTCAAGTACGTCCCCGAGCGCTGGCCCGAGAACTGGTACCGCCGTGACACCCAGTACGGCGCGGTCCAGGCCCTCTCCGACGGCTTCCTCCAGATCTACCCCCGCAACATCATCGTTCCTGGCGTCGCTCAGGTCGGTACTGGCAAGTTGACTGTCCAGACCGTACTCTGCGATGTCTACCAGGGTCTCAACTCTATCACTCCGCTTGCGCTTGGCGGTACCGAGGAGAATGTCGCCAAGGGTGTCTCGTGGGCTCTTTCAGTCCTCGACCCCATTCTCAGCAAGACTGCGCTCGGATGCCCCGACAACGTCATCTCGCCCAACTTCCTCTTCCCCCACTCCCAGCAGGAAGGTGGCCCTGTCAACCCCCCGAAGGTCCCGTCCGATGCTTGGACTGGCGACAACGTCTACAACAAGGTGTACTTTGGTGGAAAGAATGCTCCCACCAACCCCACGTGCAGCCACTCTAGTTAGATAGCTCTTGGTTGGGACGAGAAAAACTTGTAATAATTAGCGATATCCTATTTTCGAAGCCTGTCCTTTACAGAGCAGCCTAGACTCTAATCAACATGACATCCATACTATCCATTCTTGACCTGTTGCGCGTGAATGACCTTCGACTCGACTATACCATTACCGTAGCTATTCGATAAACGTGTCACTTTCCTTTCTAGCAAATAGCACATGGGCTCTTCACCACAAAGCATTGAAGTGGTGCGATGATTCTCGTTGCTTCTGGTCGCGATTATTGTCGGCGCTTTGTACGTTCCATTCATCGCTGGAATTCGGGTCTGTGAAATCGTAAGTTTTTATAAAGGCGTTGTGAGCTGGCCGATATTTCCACCACCAGTAGACATACAGGAAGTTGCAGTACCGATCTACAAGTACACGTGTCTTCAACTCGCTCTACTATTATCATGGACAGTCCACTAGAGCCAGAACACCAGCTGCCCACTCCCTTAACGTACCTGCACACTCTCCTCGCTGCAGCGGAGGACACACATGAAGCTCGCAGTAAAGTCGTCGCCGCATACGACACCATGTTATTATATGCACTCGCTTACCCAAGGAAACGGGCTCTGGCTCTGAATCTATGGACGGCGAATCTAGGGGCGCTCGCTTCCACGCCCTCTGGAGATTTCGGACAAGCGTGGCAGGAGCTAATGGAGCGGCGTGAGGAGCTGATCGACTACATGGACAGAGAGCAGATGGGCAGAGAGCAAAACGCAGTGTTTATGGATGTACGTGTCGATGACTACACTCAGCTGTGGTTGAGGATGCTGCAATTAGGCTACGATGGGCAATACGCTGCTTTCCTGACCCAGTTGATAGAGGAACAGCCCCGTTACTTCGACCGGCCGAGCGATATTGACAACTTTGTGCAACAGCGATCGCATCCAGAGGACTTTCCATATTTGGGCGACTTACTGTTGATTCCTGCACCAGCCACTAGACACGGCAAGACGGCAGAGTCTGTCCTTAATCTCCTAGTCCACCACATCGCATACATTTGCGACCTTTTCGAGAAGACAGATTACGCACCCAGTCCAGGCTTGGTGGAGGCTTTTGCAGAGTATCGCGTCGATCAGCTGTCGCAGATGTTTGGCGATCCAGGGAATTACATGCCGTTGGATGCGCGCATCCACTGCGCTAATATAAATCATCGTACTATCCACGACTTTGTCGTCTTGCGAGCGAGGGAAATCCTGCAAAGTACAGAGACAGAGCTTCTCAACTGGCACATGTACAAGTGGCTTGTGCGATGTGTAGAAAGCGTCTTCAAGGATGTGCCTCGAACCACAACCCTTTTCGATGACCTCAGTCTTGGCGTGGGAAGCGTCGAACAGAGAAACTACATTCCGTTCCAGACCGCAAATTTGCGTGTACCTGATCGTATTATACAGGCATGGCAAGAGGAGGAGCCTGCTGAGTTCGAGCCTGCTTCATTCGAAGACGTAAAGTGGGAAGCGGCCGGTCCACGTATTCAAGTCAGGAGCGTGGCTAGCCCTGTCCAGCGTGGTCCTGAAGCCATCTGTCCAGTCGATCTGGAGCCTTTTGATGTCCGCAGCGCAGCAACGGTGGCTTGGGAGGTCGAGTGCGGCCATGCGTTCCATGCGCAGTGCTTAGAGGATCTGGTCAACGGTATCGAGAAGAACAGCAATCGCTGTCCGCTGTGTAGAGCGGAGATCTGTGATGCGAGAGAGCGGCGTCGGATTGAGTAGATCCTGCAGCCTACATCATTATACAAAGATGAGATGGGCGAAGGAGAAGCCGGTTAGAATAGGTGGCAGGAACCCAAGCGATAGCGCTAGCCCCGCCCCAGACTTCATTACACAGCGGTCGCGCGTTGTGCTACAGAGTCATCAGCAGCATAGACTACATGGTAAATATGTCCATTAAGGACGCGAAGAATGCGAATTTAGATGAACATCAGTTTATGTGGAAGGCAATGGAATTGTAGATATCTGAACGCTGGAAAAGTGATTCTCCGGGTAGACGCGGCATCGCCGAATCAAGACTAGTCTCAAGACCGCGCACGTGCGCACGCGTGACGCGTTGCGGAAACCTTCCATCTAGACTCAAATCGGCCTACGCGTAACTCTACAAATCACATCACTCTGAAGCACAAACGTCGCATTATGCGTCTTCCAAGGCCCATCATGCGCCATCTCCACCGTAAACCTCCTCAGTATCTCCGGCACCACCTTATACATCTCCGCATTCGAAAGCTGTGTACAGCACCATCATCAGTCAAACACGACAACAATTCAAACCCCAGTTGTCGGTACTTACATGCTTCCCAATGCAAGTTCTAGTACCCGCGCCAAACACCAGCATAGCTTTCTGCATGGTTCTGTATCGTGCGTCATCGACAAGCCATCGCTCCGGACGGAACTCCCGCGCGTCTTCACCAAAGACCGATTCATCGTATTGCGTGACCATGGCATTCATGCCGATCTTGAAGCCAGCAGGGATGTGATGACTGAAGAGGTGCAGACCACCGTTCGGCACGTACCGCGGCATGGGCACGCCAAACGGCGGGAAAAGTCTTAGCGACTCTTGGATGACGGCCATGAGGTAGGGTAGCTTGGTGGCTTGGTTGTATTGTACGGGACTGGTGAGCGTGCTGTTCTGAAAGGCATGGTCGATCTCCTGGGTTAGTCGTTCCATCTTTGAGGGATGTTTCATGAGGAAGTAGAAGATTGCGCGGAGAGCACCGGATGTACTGTCTGAGCCGGCGATACTACCAATGTATTAGCTAAAAAGGGTCCATGGCGTTCACAGCTGTGCCTTACACAGCCGCCCACATCTCAACATGAATCTTTTCGATTGACAGACTGTCTCCCTTCTCCCTCATAATCCCTAATAACTGCGACAGAACATCCGTGCGATGCGTATCCGCTTCCGCCCTTTTCTCCTGCGCAACGCCAGTTTCACGGACAGCAGTCTGCCCGATGCCATCTACAGCCATGATAGCTTTGAAGACTTTTGGGATCATGACGCCCATCTGGAGGAGGTACCCGCGGCACCACAGCGGCGCCATCGCTATGACGGAGCTCATCGGCATGGCGGTATGTACGGCGGCGATGTAGTTCCCATAGTCTGAACTCGTTTCCAGGAAGCCGAAGGGCTGGCCGAAGAATACGGCGCCTACGCTGTCGAAGGAGAACCTGTACGTGTAGTGTAGGTTAGTATGTTGTTGCAAGGAGGAGCATGTGTGATCTGGCGCACTTACATTTCCAGCCATAACCCAAAATCAACATCTTCCTCACGGTCTGCAAATCCACCGAGCCTCTTCCCGAACAACATCATCAATTCGTCCAGGGCCCGCTCGTTCTTCAATATGCTGCTTAGTGTGTATACAGAGCCGACGGTCCGTCGGTGAGCTGCATGATGTTTCTCATTGTCATCTGTGAATAAGTCGGGGCTGGGCCCAAGGTTCACCGCTCTATATGTGAGGTACCAATCGGTTTTTTCAAGTGGCTGCTGCGTAGGATATAGGATAGGAATGGCACTTGGGTCGCTGACGGCCACTTCGTCCGGTGCTGTGCGCACGATTGGGCCGTATGCTAGCACGTCGGACGCTGTTAGCATGGTTTCTCAGGTGCCCAGAACTTGATGTTGTTCCGATACCAGCGTCTCTTTGCAAAACATCCTTCAACTCGTAACGATGGGAACACTAACTATGACATGTCAGCTCTTAACCATCGATCGAAAACAGAGCGTTTGAACCTTTTATGCATTGCGCGCATGTGCATCTCCAAATCACCCTGATACATGCGATACATAAGCCATGTGCGCGATATCGCGGGCCAGATAGGACCTGGTACGTTCGCAAGTGGGTGAAGCGTTCGCGTAAATATGAGCCAGCCTATGCAGTAAAGAATGGGGATGCAAGCGAAGACGACGAGGGAGTTCCAAAGATCAAGATTTTGGAACAGCGCCATGGTTGAGGGCGGTGATCTTGGTGGAAAGAATGCAGAATGCTGTCAGCTTATAGACTCGTCGGTCCAGTGTCAGCATCATGAGGGGTAGTTACACGGATGGCCGTTCGCGTAATCGTTCTCAAGCCTGCAAGTTAATATGTAACCTGCGATAAGCGACTAGTGCGCTAATGCAGTTAACCTTGAACGTGTAGGGTTCCTGAAGAGCTTTATAGCACTTGGCCGGCGATCGATACTGAACAAGGAAAAGATGTTGCGAGGTCTCTCAGTTGTTCGGATGCTGAGCTCGCACCCGTGAAATGGTATTAATTCCTGTAAATCGTGATCCAATGACTTTTCCATCATCCAAAGCTCGCATACCCCTCAGTCAAGGTTGCACTATTCGGTCCCTCCGGATCCATACCAGCGACTATGCCCCTCATCCGTACGAGCAACTCCGCAACCCTGAAAGGCTTGCCAACAACATCATCCATTCCTGCAGCCATAGCTTGTTCGATCTGCTGTTGACGCACATTGGCTGTGACCCCGATAATTGGCACTCGCTCCTTCAACAAGCCTTGTTGCTCAAGCTTGCGTATTTCGGCAACGGCTGTGAGTCCGTTCATGATGGGCATCTCCCAATCCATGAGGATGAGGCTGAGTTCGACGGGCAGTTCACCATTATGGAGGGCCTCTCGTGCGATTGCGTCGCCAGTAGCTTGATCGTTTTTCCACAGACTGGTCTTTGGTAGAAAGTCAAGGGCCTCTTGACCGTGGTTGGCGACGCTCACAACACATCCTAGATTGCGCAATTGTTTGGCGAGAACGCGCTGGTTGATGAGATTGTCTTCCACGACGAGAACATGCAGCGTATCTGGTATACTTTTTGTGCGCTTCAATTCTTGCAGATCAGGACCCTCTGGTAGCCCTAGCGCTTCGGGGCGAACATGGGAGTGTTCGGTCTGCGAGGATTTTGATTGCACTGACGGGCGGCGTGCTTTTGGACTGGCAGAATCTGATCTGTGACCTTGCTCGCCTGTGGATATGCGCACGGGAGGAGACGGACGCGTTAGGCTTACGAGCGGTATCGGCCGTCTGTGCTTGATCTCTTCTGGGAAAACATGGGGAAGACTGCCTTTCCGGGCTACAATAGGTCTCGCCCGTCGTGATTTGATGTAGAAGGCAAACGTGCTGCCTCTTCCAGACTCACTCGCGACGCCGATTGATCCGCCTTGTAACTCGGTGAGACGTCTAGATATGAATAACCCAAGGCCAGAGCCACCGTAGTGTATGTGCGTCCGAGGTGAGGCTTGTGAAAAGCGGGTGAAGAGGTTGCATTTTTCTTCGTCGGAAAGTCCACGGCCCGTATCAGTGACGGCAAATTGAATGTAGAATAACTCTTGAGCTTTCTTCCAATCCTCTTCCAAGTGGGGGTCTTGTCCTACTAGCCTCTCCTCGTTATACTGTATTCCATGTAGCGTTGAGACGGGTTCAGCGCTACTGGCGGCCAGAGTCACTGTTACACGCTTCGTGGACTCCAAGCGTGTGAACTTGATGGCATTGGTGAGAAGGTTGATGAGAATCTGCAGCACCCTTGTTGGATCCAGAGATGCCCAGTCGATCTCCATGTTGCGATAGGATTGATCCACGTTCAACACGAGGTTGATACCTGCTGCTCTCGCTTCTGCGTCGAACATCTTCACTGCATGCATAACCACCTGTTAGGTTATGAAGTTAGTCTGTGTAACATACGTGTCATCAGATTAGAGGTCTTACACTCTCGGGTTGCGCAATGACCGGTGTCATGTCCAAGAGACCCGAATCAAGTTTGGATATGGTGAGGATATCGTCGACTATGTGCTTCATGTGCGATGCGCAAACTCCTATCGTCTGGGCAGCGTCAAGGGTAGACTCGATGAAAGCCGTCCACTCGTTTGGTGTGGTGTTTTGGCGCGCTTGGTAATCTTCTTGGGGATAGGAAGACGTGATAGAATCCGCGCATTGCATGATGGCGCTGAGAGGGTTTCGCATCTCATGACTCGTCGTGTCCAGAAAGTGTTCTAGGTGTTGCTTGCCTTGCAGGGCGCTGTCCATGCGTATCTTTTGAATGCCTTCAGCCCACTTCTGCTCTAGATTGGGCGCGAGAGTCAGTGCATGTATCACGGGTCATCGTACATGGAGTTGCTTACTGGATATATCTGTAACATTCCCGACGACCTCAACAAGATCGCCGTTCGGACCCAACTCGGGGAAGGCTGAACACAAAATCCACTTATAGTGCTGGGTATCCTCGGTCTGCGGCTCATCTGACTGTGACGGCGGCGTCCAGGGCATCCGCGTACGCAGCTCAAAGATAACAGATTCGTGATTCATGATTAGTTTTGCGAACATGGATTGGCAGTAAGGGATGTCCTCTTCGAACGCAATCTTATACCATGCCACGGTGGCGTTGTCTTCAGAGGATGCGACCTCAAATATATCATGCCATCGTTGATTACGGTAAGTATAAGCTCCTGCCGGATCAATAATAAAGATGCCTACGTCGGATCGTTCCGCGAAGCGCTGAAACTTGCTTTCTTTGAGTTGTATTTCCGCCATCAGATGTTCTTGGATCTGAGCAGCCTGGATGATGGCGTTTTCTCTTTGTTGGACTTCGTCTTCAAAAAGAACGATGGAAGCAAGAGACGTAGCCAGCAACCGCACCATGACATGCAGGTATTGCTGGTACTCTTCGTCGAAGGGGCGGCGCGGATTTATGCCGATTATGAGGAAACCTTCTACCTGGTTACCAGTGGTGGGTATTATTGGACAGATGACTAGGGTTCGACAAGGGTCACCATATCCTTTCCAGTCGATGCCTTGCAAGGCCCTTGTTGGATCGGGAAGATCCTCGACGTGAACAACGGTCGCTTTCCCGGACTTGGCGGCTCGACTCAGGAACGGCTGGAGAATATAAGAGCCTTCATTGATGTTGATACTCGCAGGGGCGATGGCATGGTCACCGGAGACGCCAATGGTACCCTTGAGAACGCAACCTTCCAACGGAGGAATGCTACCGGGGGATGATACCGATGGTATTTGAGCGCTAACATGCCGCTCGGCAGCATATAGCAAGGCAAATGGCACATCTTTATCGTTCAAGCTGAGTGATCGCAATGTAGTCTCCCAAAATGATGGGAAATCTCTGGCATTCGCACTCTGGGTTCCCATTGCGACCAGACTAGAGACGCGGCGCTCGAGGATACGGTGGTTGGAAACTTCGTAGAAGGACTGGTAGTAGGCTGCCACTTGGCCGTCGGTGTTCAATATTGGGACGAATTGAAAAGACCAGTGTGTCTCTTCAAGGATCTTGTCTCTCTCAATGAAGAGGAGCATGTCAGGTTCGGCTATTGATTCGCCTGTTGATTTGATGTAGTCTACCAGAGGTTGAAACGAGACCCAATGATCCGGTGCCTTGACGCGGACGCTTTCGCCCATGCAAGGATGGAGGCTGCCAAGGAGTTGGACATATGACTCGTTGTACAACATAATGACATCGTCGCCCCAGAACATGACGGCTGGCACATTGTTACTGAGCACTGTGTTTGCTACGCAACGTAGATCACTAGGCCATGAACTCATTGGACCCAGGGGTGTGTTTGCCCAATCTATACTGCGGAAGTACTCGATGTGCGGGCTGGTCGAGGTGAGTACATCGGAGGTACAGTCGAAGGACGTGTGCGTGGCTGCGCTTTGGTCTGCAGAAGAGCTGGTACCGGGCTCAGGATTTTGTGGTATCTGGGCAAGCGAAAGCTGGGGCTTGATGGGTAGCGCATCCGCGCGATGCTTGCTCCGAGGCGTTTTCCGCTCGCGTCGGAGGGTGCGGTGGCTCTTTCCTCCTGGGGCGGCGTCGACCCACAGCAGTCGCGTTGGCACTCCGCTGACAATCTTGTAGCGCCCCACACTTGTCGCATTCCATACGTGCCCTTCGAATGTGTATGCATTGCCGTGTTGTTGTAGGTCCTCCTCAATGCCTTGCCCACGAATCCAATTCCGGAAGGCAAGTTGCGGTCCCGAGCTCTGCGCGAACAAGCTAGTCGACTCGTCGCCTGTGATCTTGGTCATAAGCCCGCCAATGGTGTGAAGCGCCGTGTTCGCATACACGAGATCGATGGTGTAGGCTTCATCGTGGCCTAAGGACGATCGTGTTTCGACGGCGAAGGTAGGGCGGTCGTCGCGGTCGAGGGCTTCGAGGAGCGTGAAGTCTGCCAGCTCTCGCTCTGCGGGCTTCAGCTTGGGCCGTGAGGTATCGAATGGCGGTGGTGAGCCATAGCCGGTCGTCCCGTAGTAGTTGCGATGCGCGAGTAGTTGCCCGTTCGAGGCCATTTCATCCGGCGCAAAGACGAGTAGCGGAAGTCGACAAAACACACGACCGCCGCATTGAACAGACGCTGGAGCAGTGCTTTGCGCAAAAGTGATTACTTTTGCCTTCCGTTGCTATCTGGTGAGCTAGTGCAGCTATTGGTCTGGCCGCTGCATCTCTAGCTATGATGACTGAAGCGTCTCGGTCCGCTAGCTGGCGGCTGCACGCCCTCGCCGAGATCTTCAACATGGCGTCATCGTGATTTAGAGTTGTTGACGAGCTTCTTCATCTTGAGCACTCGTTGGGTGTGTGCTCGCCGAGAGTTTGACGGTCGTGTTACTATCAGTTCACCTCGCTCCAGATTTCGGCGTTGCTGCCCTGCGGCGATCATGCCCTTGCTGCCGTGTCATTGCGCTAACCCGCAAAAATACTATTGCACCCAGTCACATGACGCCAAGCCGACCCCGCCGTGCCATCCGTTTACTCAACACTTCGCCTGCATGGACCTTCACTTGACGGAGTCGCCTCATCATTCTTACATTAATACTCTAGCTTGCGATAGCATATGATGCACAAAATACTTGTCAACACCAGCGTCTACATCCAACGTCCTACTCAACCGATTTCACAATCTCCGCCTTTTGTCAGCTATGAAGCTGCATCTCAAGCCTCATTGTCCAACACTGCGGTATAGTCGCGGGCCTTACATATAACTGTCCGACATGCTGGACATCTGATCTCAGGAACTCCGGGATACACCCCGTTCACCAATTCATCCAAGCACCCGCGATGCAGTTGATGCGCACAGGCCTTTAGCTTTACGCACACGTTGTCAACGTCCGCGTAATCTTCAAGGCAGATTGGGCAGCGCTCGGTCGCTATTGGCGTGCTCATCACATCGCACAACCTGTCGAGATCAATGCGCGGTCCGGTCGGCTCTATTGGGACGTCCACGGCAGGGCCATTGTCGAGATGGCGAAGGATGTAGGCTTCGAGCTCTACGGTGACCACGTCGCCCATACCTGCAGGGCGTTTCCAAGAACGTGTATGATCGGGTCGCATCCCCTTCGGTGCCCCCACCATGTGCAGCTTCAGCAGGTTTGCACGTATGGTGCCGTTCGGATCTGCTTTCAATCGATCGACCTCGGCCAAGGCATAATAGAGGAAGTTGATGTACACGGTTGCGTGGAAGAGCTCCGGTGCGACAATATCGTAGAGTTCACGCAGAGGGCATTGCGCAAGGAACTCGATGTTACCCCTGGTATTGACGGTCGCCAGGGCCTCACGCACAGGCTTGGGAATGTCTGAGAAGGGATTCTGCAGCGCCATCTTCGAGGACAGAAATAGCACCTCATAGCCTTCATGTATCACCCTGCCGACCGCTTGGGGGGGATATCGAGCACGAAGGCTGTGTCGATCATCGAAGTGGTGAACGTCGATGGTGTTCAGTAAGAGCCAGAGGAAGTGCTTGATGATGTGCTCGATATCTTCCGCTGCGTACCCATCCTGGATACGTATACCGTCCTCGAGAAATCGCGTTAGACCGGGCCACATCTTGGAGTGTCTTCCTTGGAATGCCTGGGACTGCTCTTCGAACGCGGTGCTATACCAGGTTGGTGATAATTCGTTGGGCCACCAAGTTGTCCATTCGTAGTACTTCCACAGCTCTGGGCCTAGTGAACCATCAACATCGGCTTCGGAATGCGTCGCGCAGCTCAAAAGAAACCAGAGGCGGGCGCTCGCGTCGTTACTTTTATCCTCACGATCGTCGCCCGCATTGGGCAATTCACGTACGCACAGATCGAAGAATTCTTCAAACGGCATCTCAAGTAGCTGGCGCTTGATTTCGGTAGAAGCAGTGCTGTAGTACACATTGTTGACAAAGCTTTGTTTTGTGTCGGCGCGGGCTTGAAGGTAGAATTCGCCGGTGTCGGTGAGTCGAGTATACGAGGCGCTATGTGCGGCCATACCCATAGGCTGCAGGATGTGCTTATAGACACCTGCGAAGTCTTTGACACGCGGTCTGAGCAGGGCTGTCAGCCAGGGTAGAGGGGCGGGATGCATGCCGTCGCGTGTAATTGGTGGTGGAGCATATGTCGTCATTATCGATCGTGGGACCGTCGAGTGATGATTCAGTGGAATTCGGGTAGAGTGTGTGGTAAGAGTGAGTTTAGTACCAAGGCCTTCGGGAGAAATGGGATGTAGTGGTACAATTAAGCAAGAGCATTGTGTGAAGTACGACGTGACCCTTCGATGATTGTACAGTGAACAGATAGTCATTTCACGGCTTACACCAGGCGAGCTGCACCTTTCGTTGGTGAGTAAAATGGAATTGGCAAGATGCATTAAAATCGTTGCAACCATTGCTACGTAACGAGCAATTCACTCATTTACTCTCAATCGCACTACCATACTTCTCGCACGCCTTTTCGCAATTCCAGTACCGCTGGATATAAACGATGTCAGAAGTCGACCTAACCGCTAGTCATATGACTATCGGGATGCCATGGTTTAGATCTCTGCCGAAAGAATATGACTTTAAGTGATGTTGTAGTAGACGAGAACAAGGATTAAGTTCCCGTGTCGGAACAAAGAGGTAAAGGTAGACTGTGTTGTTTGTTAATTAGTGTGGTCAGTAGAATGGGTGGTTCGCGCAACCTTAACCACTTCACCAAAGGGAAGAAATTAGTCCAGTTGAACAAGCATACCCTACTCTACCTACCTTCCATCTAATACAAGGTCTCTTACTACGCACCGTAGAGCCAAATTTGCTAGGAGCAAAACCCAAAAGCCAAAAAAAATCAAAAATCCCCAAATGCTCAAACCTCAATTTCCCGCAACAACAACCAAGAAAACAGCAAAAAAGATGTGTTGTGACCTAACCAGGGGTCGCTTTTTTGGGCGTCAGCGGTGCTATTTCGAATGGGCGACTCTTGCGAGTCGGGGTGAGTGAATACTTACAACCTGGAATCTCTTGATATCGAACTGAGTCGTAGTCAAGCGCCTTGCCATTGGGCCATTAGGCCAGTTGTACTGATTGATGGAGGTCTGGGAAAATGTATTGTACTAGTACTTGGTTGCAGCGACTGTTGCTGTCCGTCAATAATTGCAGCAACTCATTTGCTTGCTGGGGTGGGTGGTCGCATTGTAGCGTGAAAGAGTTTGCGCTTGTGGTGGGGTTTCGGAAGGATTCGGCGGGGTGGGGCACGGCAAACTTCCCAACTTGCGAAAAGACGCGTTGAGTTTGAATGGGAACACGAAGCTGACGCGACACAGAACAAATACATGCGTTTTTGTTGGCTTTGCATTCAATATGTCATATCTAAGCTACAAGTTCATATTGTCCGTAAGGCTGCTCACAGATGAACGCTCACGCTCTCGCTGCGGGCTGTGTGAGCGTGCTTCCACCATCGGGGTACAAGACCTGCTCGTTGAAGAAGACACCACCTGGACCAGCCAGTAGGAGTACAGTCGCAGCCATGTCGGTGTCAGCGCCAGGACGACCAGCAGGGTTGCTCATTCCGGACTCGATTCGGCTCTTGTTGTCCTCGTCGGAAGTGCCAGTGGTCATCTACATCATGTTAGCTCGACCTTCACCAACGTGCTTTTCGAATGTCAGAGTTACATACCTCACTTGGGAATACACCAGGCGCGATGGTGTTGACGCGGACCTTGGTGCCCGCAAACGTCGTAGCCAGCATACGGCTCAAGTGTGTAGCAGCCGCCTTGCTCGACGCGTAAGAGAACTGGCCGCTGCTGCTACCCTTCATGTATCCTGAGATACTGCTAACATTGATGACTTGCGAGCTGTATCCAGGAGTGACCTTGCCGCCCTTAGCCAGTAGAGGCAGGAAGTACATTGACATCCAGAAGATGCTTCCGACGTTGGTCTTCATGGTGTCGGCCCAGTTCTCAGGCTGCGACTTGAGAAAGTGGTCGGAGATGGCTTGTGCGTCTTCCATGTTTGGCTGGCCGTTTGCGGAGAACTTGGTGTTGTCGTCGCGGGCGATTCCGGCGTTGTTGACGAGGATTTGGATACCCTTGGGCTCTTTTTGGCACATCTCTTCGTAGAGACGCTTTACGTCGTCCTTCTCGCTGAGTAGTGTTAGTATCGACACTCACCATGTTGATAGATCGTGTGCTTACCTGACATCTGCCTGGATGGGAATGATCTTGCCTGGACCACCGCCGCTGTATAGCTCCTCCGTCTTCTTCAGTACCTCGTCACGTCTTGACGTGATGTACACTTTCGCACCGTTTGCGACTAGCGCTTGTGTGATCATCAATCCAATACCAGTTCCTCCACCAGTAACGAGAGCGGTGACATGAGAAACATCAAAGAGCTTGGAGCCCTTGAGCTCATCGGTGCTAGCCTTGCTGCCACTCATGTTTCTGACAATTTGGTATGTAGTTCTTGGGAGAAATTGATTCGTTCGTACTGTTGATGTGATGGATTTGGTAGCTGTAGGAAGGTTTCTTGAGAAGAGTCGGAGCATGTTGGGATATGCTTGTAGTGGTTGCGACCTTTATGTGGTTTAAAGGTGGAGGAACGATGTCACAGTTGGATGCGAACATGATGACGTTGAGACGACGCATGAGTGCTTGTAGAGGGGGTCCAATGCATTAGGCACTGGCGCGACGCGTCGATGCATGCTATGAGCGCTTGCAATCATCGAATTCTGCATTCCCCATAGTAGAAGCGTACGCCACCAACATGTAGCATGCCTTAGCATCGGTTTATGCTGGTGAAGACGGCAATCACGGCTAGAAGCGAGTTGAAGAACGATGCCGCTAAGCATGCAACAGTTAGACACTGGCCTGGACGCGCAAAGACGTGTCGTTAGATGCCTCCATTACAGTGTCGTCCTGTCCAGATAAGCACAGTACTTCAAAGCTGTCTCAGTCGCATCGCCAGTAGTCACGAACGCTTCCAAGGTTCGATTTGTCGCTTGTCATGGCTTCGTCGGTGCAGTCATGCGATATCTTTGAAGTATGGTCATGTTTGGACAGCTAATAAAAAACAGACGCCAAGGCGATGCTTGCATCGTGAGTACCATGGAGAGCTGAAGTCGCGAAGTGTGATGGTGTCGAGCTGCGTTCTACTACAAGTGTGCACGAGGTATGACGCAATCGATCCTCCGAATCATCTCCGGAGCATCTCCGGGCAGTTGCTCATCCCTCAACGAACGCTGGCTTAGAAACCGCGCACTTGTTACAAACCACCACGCCAACGACTGGCATAGCGAACGCGCATTGTCGAATAGCTACGTCCAGCACGCAATTCGCGCACTTTGTCAGCACGCACACAGTCATTGGTCAATGGGCATTAGTAACACAGCTTGGCCTCGGGAATAGAGCTATGGCATCATCGCCACAGAGATGCCGAATGAGGGGAAGCCCCGGCGGATGAAGGGCGACTTGACGTCGCAATGGTAGGAAGCATTTCTAATCGCATAGACATATATAACAGCATCGAAGCTGTCCTTGATCTCAACTTATATCCACACAACTTGCCACAAAGCCACTGACCCAGCAACTACCATCACCACCCTCGATCTAGTCTTCGCAAACCTTCGATCATACAATTCTCATTACGACTGCGAACGAATCTAGCATACCAGTCACCAAAATGACGACCACCGCCTCTCTTCCGACACCCGCACACCAACTCTCCAACCCCACGCCTACCACCAGCGACACAACATCCTCCGACGTCAACTACCAAGGCCTGCCCATCCCTCGCGGCCCCGTCACAGCATCGCTTTCCTTCTACAAAGCCCCCGAAGACGGCTCACCACCACACAACTACGTCGAGCCGCTCCCAGGCGTGCCACAACGGAATTGGGGCGACGATTGGACCAAAGTAGAACTCAACGACCTACGAGGTCAGGAGCAAAGATTCACACTAGACAACAACGCCTTCGATACATACCAGAACATCAAGAGTGGGCTGGATAGAGATGGCTTCTCCGACGATGACGCGATAAAACGGGTCTACTACCCAGAAGTAGAGGAACTACTCATGAAGAACGTACAAGGCGCGCAACGAGTCCTCCTCTTCGACCACACGATCCGCCGACCGACCGGCAACCGCAACCCCGTCCAGCGCGTACACATCGATCAAACACCTTTCTCCGCCGCCGAACGAGTCAAATTCCACCTGCCCGACGAAGCCGAACAACTGCTGCAAGGACGGTACCGCATCATAAACGTTTGGCGCCCGCTCAACGGACCTGTCATGGGCAGTCCGCTTGCGGTCGCCGATAGCCAGACAGTGCGCGACGGCGATTTGATACCTATTGAGCATCGCTACCCCGATCGCAACGGACAGACGGCGGCTGTGGCATATAACTCGGGGCAGAAGTGGTACTATTGGTCTGGCATGATGAATGAGGATCGTCTATTGCTCAAGTGCTTTGACAGCGACGAGAATGTAGGTCAGTGGGGACGTGTACCGCACACGGCCTTCGTGGACCCAAGGACACCAGATGGCGCGGTTGGTAGGGAGAGTATTGAGGTCAGAGCGCTTGTCTTTGGCTGATCGATGCTTCCCTACAACCTTGACCGGACCTCTCCTTCATTATGCCACGTCTTCATCCCACTTGCGTTATATCAGCGCTTTGTAGTAGTAATTCAGTTTCGTTCCTCGTAGTTCATATGCATTCATGTATTGGCTAAACTTTCATCATCTCCATCAAACGAACGTTTTCCGTGTATCCATGAAGAGTCAGTGTAGATTCATTACTTGAGGTGCAACACGTCTCGCCTTGCAGACAAGACTATCGAGCTGTCTGCACTAAGCCCACATCGATGCTCAATTCCACTATCGTCGTTGCTTACCGAGACTTCTCAACCTCGACCTCCCCAATATCCTGTCCAATTACCTTAATCTCGTGCTTCTCGGCGTTGTCCTTCTCGACCTCCTTTAGCTTCTCGGTGAGCTTCTCGTTCAACTTCTCGAGCGCAACGTTGTACGACCATCCGTGTCCTCCAATGCTCCTGTCTCTGACTTTGCGGTCCGGAAATACGGGGAAGAGAGTCGCTCCTCGCGAACCAACCTGCCCAGGCTCGCTCTTGAAATCAACGTCCTTTTCCGTGAACCCGTTCTCGATGCCGAGAGATCGGCTGAGTTGGACAAACTTTACTACTCCAGTGTTAGCACATGTATGCGAGAGTCTGCAAGTCCATGATATTATCCAGGTACGACAGAGGGCATGAACACTCACTTTTGACTTCAGTTTGAAGAGTCACATGTGCTTTCTCTCGGCCCGAGTCGTCGTACTCTTCTTCCTCGCTTGATTCGCTATCAATATTGCTGTCGTCTTCGCAGTATCTTTCACGTTCTTCTGTGCTCGGTCTTTCCGCTTCTCTCTGCTCGTCGCATCTTGAGGACGCGCAGGCCTGGTTCATATGCGGGCTCGAGCAGCTGTTTGACATCGCGAATGATAAAGATAGACGAAAAATTTGTAGGCTATGAAGAAGATATTGATCTATCAGACTCGTTCTCATAAGGTAGGTATCGAATTTATAGCCAAGTATGAGTCCTAGATGCCGGTCAAATTGGTAACGAACAAGTCATACATGAGTCAAACTTGGAATACGTGACCCTATTGACTAGGATGGTGCGACGGGGAGGGACATTGTGAGGATGACAGTGCAGATTCTGGGCAGAACTAGTGCTGTATACATTTTCATCTTTGAGTGGTTTTATCACGAAAAGAGGCCGTCTTTCGAAAACAATATCCCACTTCCTTCCAATCAAGATTTGATTGACCGCACACAGTCTATCCAAATTCTTAGATCTCATCTTTCCAAGTATACCACACTCATGTCAACTTGCATATACCTAGGTAGACGCCAGAGCGTGCTAATCGAGGAGCTGCACGTTCGTACTATGATTTCCTCGAACCCTTCCATTTCTCAATTGCTTTGTCTAGTCGTTTCACGTCGTTCATGTCGAGGCTGCAGTCATAACCTCCTTCCCGTAAGTGCATCGTCTTTAACGGCCAGAAGTCTCGCAGGAGTATGCGCAGCACAACTTCGTCGTCCGTTTCTGGAAGTTCCACGAACCGCAGGATGACCTTCCTCCTGCCGGCATCTTTTACTACCAGACTTTCGATACCTGGTAGCATTCGTGTTAGTGTTCATAGTTGCCAAGCCTATTCTGCGCGAGTATATGCATACGGAGCTTGTCCAGGTCGTGTTTCAAGTAACCCATTTCTTTCTCAGTGAACTCGATAGAAACGTTCGATCCAGACTTGTGGGACTTTACGAAACGCTGGAGATCCGAGAGATCAAAGTCGAAGTGAACAAGTTTGGCTTGGTTCTTGAGCTTGTTTCTTGTCTTCAGCAAGCGTATCAGGCAGAATAAGGATTTTAAGCTCATGGTTCTTTGCTTAAAGGTAACTCGTGGAGTATAGTCGGTGTGGTGGTTGTTAGAAGTATGCCCTTCTCCAAACTACGAAAATTTCGGTACGAGCGATGACTCGGCTTCGAGTCATTCTGAGCTGGCGTCACACTCATATGCTGGATAGAATCAACACGGGCTTGTGTAGGCACAGGCAGGTGGGCCGCAATGTTGACTTGTTGTTACACCAAAAGGTGACTTGCTATGACTCCCAACTACAGTGATTCTCAGCCTGCAGGTATTCAACATATGAACTGACTGCTAGCTGATCATCAGCTCCCCTTGAGAAACTCCATACATGAAACGTCCACTCGACATTTCTGTATTTCTGCCATCCAAAGCTCCTTCCTACCCTCAATCCTAGCGTAATGACGCACCATTGCATCCTCAACGTCATTCGTCACAATGAATCTCAGCTCAACAGGTCGCCCCGTGGTTCGCCATGTTGGCCAATCGTCGTACACTTGTTTCGTCAGTGACTTTCGGTCATATCGCTTATGGATTGGGCCAACAACATACATGTCTCTCCCAGCGATTTTGCTAGCTCCTTCAGTTGTTTGCGCAATTGAGAGGTGGTGTCACGGCGTCGTAGAGTGCTTAGAATCCCAGTTTTTGGATGGAGTTTACTCTTGATGTCCGCGAGTTCGAATATGAACTCTGCAGGGGGTTCGGTTGCTGCTTGCTGCTCAGTCTTGTTTTCAGAGCAGTCTTTCGTCTTCGAGGCCTGATCTTTGTTCTCTCTAGGCATCGTAAAATGAGTATGTTCAAAAGCGGTAGCTTGATGGAATGAAGAGCTTCTAGGTTTCTGTAAACAATGTGGTGATGAAGCGTGTGAGCAAAGAGATGGGTCTTTTTATGCGAGCAGTGACTCAAAATATAGAGTCATGGTGTTGACTTAACACTACAAACATGAGCAACGCGAAACTGCATGATAGTTTCCGAGTGTCATGTCTGCAAATCTGGATGTGTGACGAATTCATCGCACAAGAAGGTAGTGAACCGTAAATATAGTGTAACAACTTGACTTGACGGGGTGCATAGAACTTCAGGTAAGGACACGATGAGATTGTCAGTATTATCGAACGATGACTGGGCTTTTCCGGGTATATTGGGTCATGAAGAAGTGTCATTGCTGGCGCGCTAGAGTAAAGGCCTTGCGTAAGAGTACAGAGTCTTTACCCGGGTCCTTAAAGAGTGTAGTGTGTAGCACTAGTAGAAGAGAAACAGAGAACTCGGAATGTGTTGAGACAATCCAGACATTCTTACACTGACTGTTGAAGTCATGCATAATTCATTGAAGCGTCGTACTTCAGTAGTCGTCACCCCGAGAGACAATCTCTTTGCAGTTGGGCCTTAGCAATACTGTCTGTGAACCCACTCGTCAGTCATGGCCAAATGTTTCTATGATGGGTTACTCACATGCTCAAACTGCGCGATGAACGAACCAGGAATATCCACCAGCGGCGCATATGCCTGAACGATACCACTGTTGACCAGGGTTCGCATACCGAGGTGGTATTTCTCCACAACCGGCAAACGTTCAAGCTGACGGCGAGCAAAGACCAGAGTCCCAAAGTTCTCGTCGATGGTCTTCAATAGCGATCTCGCGGACGAATGATGGAGGCCGGCAGCGCTGACGCCCTCGTTGCGTCCGTAGCCGTATACGCCAACATCGTCATGAAGGTATGCTTTGCCGGTGCTACCGAAGGTTTCAATCGCGAAGATGTCGCCTTCTTCCATACGTTGGGAGGTCTTCGTTTTGACAAAGGGAACTTGCTTGTCGCCATGGATGCGATAACGTAGGATGTTGTGACCGGTGATGTTACGCACCGCCTTCACGGGAATGGCCTTCCCTCCGAGCTCCACCTCATAACTTTCCATAACCTCTTGTATCATCTCACTAATATGGTCAATTCTCGCATCGATACCGGCTTCTTTCAAGCCTGTATCAGTAGCTGCCTTCACCGATGCTAGCAGGTTGTCATAGATCGGATTGGCAGCGACAGTGAAAGCGCTATCCACGATTCTGCCATTGACATGCACGCCGAAATCGATCTTGAGAACGTCATCTTGTTGAAGGAAGACTTCCTTCGCACCGGCATTCGGAGTCCAATGTGCGCCGATGTTGTTCAAGCACAAGCCCGTTGGGAAAGCGAGACCAGCTTTGAGACCATCTCCGGTTTCAAGACCCTGGTGGCCAACGAGTGTACGAACACTATCATCAATCTCCTCGGCAATGCGGGTGAGAGACACGCCGGGCTTTGCAATGGTCTGTATGTACTGGCGCACCTGACGGTGGACCTCGGCGGCCTTACGATAGTCTTCCAGGAAGTCGTCGTTCATGTTTTCCAAAGCGGCCAGATGGCGAAGCTCTCCAGCCGTGGTGCGCTGGAGGTTCTCGTCCTTGATGGCATACTCCACAGTCTGACCTAGCGGGTATTTTCGGCCCTGGTACAGATCCACTAGCGGCACCCTTGGAGGCGCTGTCTGCTGTGTTGGTGACACTTTCTTGCTCCTCTTCTTGTTGCGCTTTCTTTTCTTCTTCGCGCCTTCCCATTGTCAGCTCGAGATCGAAGTCACGTGATCCCAACTCACCATCGTTGTTCTTCACGTCAGCTCCAAGCTTCGCGATATCATCATCATCGTCTCCGTCTTCATCCTGCCCTTCGAGTACGCCTGAAAGGAGTCCGCTAGCGGCTGCTGGCTTGGGAGGGTTGATGATAGCGATTGCAGCGTCCGCCGACGACCCTGTCAGCTGTAAGCATACGTCTTCTCAGAATAGCTTCGATCGCGCTCACCGTCTGGGCCTTGGCGATGATCTTCTGGAGACTTTGACCCCATGACTGCTTCGAAGCGACTGTCATCAAGCTTCCGAGCTACTGTTGGTGTTGGTGTTGGAGTTGGTGGTCAATGAAGCGGCGCGGAGCTACCTAGGCGACACGGTGGGGCCTGGGCGGGGCGCAACAACGGTGTGCCTTCTCCACTACCCCGTCCTGCCACCAGCACGACGTCGCACAAGATCAACATCAATTCCTCGCCTCAGTCAAAACCACGAACGAGACCGAAACTCAGCCTCAGACTGCCGAAATTGTTTATACCAGACTTTGACACTGTTAGAGGCGCATCGAGCCCGGATGGGCCCCTGTCATTGTACAGTACCAGCAGAGTACAACTCCCGTTACAAGCACAACATTCACGCAAGAGTACGAGGCGATTGCCGTTGTCATTGTTGATATCGACATCTCGAATGCTTCGCAAACGCGATGAACGGATCGAGACCACCCGCGCGTCCTATGTGACCTGGAGAATACCAACTGGCACTGCAGTGCCATCTCAGGCTGTTTTCAAACCTTGGTAGATGCGCAGTAGCCTCATTCGATCATCCCTTCTGATGGCACAGACTTTCAAGACTGAATACCCGATCCTACTTGAAGATCACCTGGGCAATGATACCCCAGTGGTGGACCTCGAAGTTGCCGAACCTCCAACAACAGCTTGTTTAATGCCTCGGGAATTGTATCGCCCACTGCTGCTTCACTAAGCGGCTGCCCACCAGCTGAAGATACAATACGCGCTTGATATCTCTGGATTCCCCTAAAGCGGTGCACGTATTCCCGTTCGACGAGCACCTTGAAGGCATTGAGTGAGTTCCCCGACAAATTCGGGTCCCAGACATCTACGTTGCGACACAGATTTCAGTTAGTAGAGCTCAGGTAACGACAGTAACGGGCGTAGTTACCGATGATATCTTGCTTCGTGCGCTCATACTCAGGACCCAAAGCATCGATGGATCTCCATTTGTGGAAACTTGTCTCGGTTCTTCCACTCCCAGCAAAGATAGTGCAGATGCACTGCCACATTGGAAAACAGTACGAGTTGGTGTAAGTGGTAAGAGATGCAAATTCTCAGCAAGGCTTTCTGAAGAACGAGCGGAAACAGGTATATTCGCAGCCATACACTTTATACTCAGCATGAGTCACAATCGAAGACGAAGTATGCCATCACCAGAGCCATTCCAACGCTTTCATGAACAGTCGCAAAAGCACAGTGAAGAAACTGGTCATGGAGTTACTAGTAATTAGGTGGTCTCTACATCCCCGGCGACCTCACACAGCTATGGCACTTGTTACACCAACCGGCATGGCCAAAGTCTGGGCAACGATCGTTACGTGCCCTTCGACGAAGCGAAAGTTGCGCCGTGCATGCAACTACGGCCCGACACCGAAGGTGTACTCTAGCGAATGAACGTTGCGTCACTTCCAGCGGCAGAATAGCTGTAGAAGGCGGAAACATACTGAATAGGCGTTGTAACTTGGACAACTCGTTGGCGAAAGCAGGATTGCTTTCGGGATGGCAACAAAACAGAACGGGCATCAAGGCATGGAGACCTGTGAGCATGAAGATGACATCCTTCATATTCCTGGAGGCAGTCGCGGCAGTCTTATTCAATATTGATACCGTAAGCAGCGTATACTTTTAAGACGTCTGGTTTTGAGAAGAACGTGACAGGAAGGGACTCCCAGCACGAAATTGCCGAGGATGACTGTTCAGGTGTCGCCAAGACGTCGCACTTGTCGTACGAGAACGCCACCAAAACGAATTCTGACTTGTGCAACCACCCCTCAGCACCGCGCAACCATAACCAACGAGCCGTATTGCTGGCTTTCTCGGCCTGTCTCCCGTCCAGGACCTCTGCAGCATCTATACGGCTAGATCATTCATGTTGGCGAGTTCATCATGCTCAGTAAGAGTCGGAGTCACCTTTTCAATAAGGGCAAGGGCAGTGCAAGGTCTTTAATCCTTCAGGCGCCCTGTTTACCCCTGCAGAAAATGAGTCTGCAACGAGCCGCATGGACCCAAAGATAGACGGCTCAATGTCGCTAAACGTCTAGATCTTCCGCGGGATTGGCTAACTCGCTTGGCAAGAACAGCATGATTGGTTGAAAGAGACGGGCCTTGGAAGAGGCGCAAGGCTGCATCAATCGCTTAAGGGGAAACGAGATGTGCCTGCACGCTTTGCACGACCGGTGAGCTAGCCATGTAGTTGTCTGGGCCGGCGGCGCGGTGCTTGATGGTGCTTAAGATGAGGGCGTGGCCCTGACGGCTGGAGACAGCCCTACAACTTTACTAATATCTAATTTTCGCGTTTCGCGACCCACGATCGTTACTTTCTCAGCGGATAGCAATATGGCTGCCCGATTCGCCCTCGTAGCGATCGCTAATGCCGCCATTGCGAGCGCGCAGTTCTTGGATGATGACTACAGTACCACTCGTTATACTTCAGCATACTGGACCTACACCTACGCTCAAGCGGAGGTTGCCACACAAAGCCTGTACACATATTATGACGACACCGTCGCTACCGAGACTTACACTGAGTACCGCACTATCAAGGATGGAGTCACTCCTACGATCGCACCGTACTCGACGTCCACAGCCCTCGGCTACTACGACGATCTTGAGGTCGTATACGCGTATTACACAACTAGTGCGGTGGCCGAATCTGATCTTGTGCCTGAGTATGATTACTACGCGACTTCCCCTTCGGCGACGGCGACGACCACCGAGACAGTCAGGGACATCGAATTCAGCATGCCAGTAACGATGACGGCACCTGCGTCATGCCCCACACCATGTAAGTACTACGTTCTCTCTTCGAATCTCTTCGACACTGACTTTGACTGCCTGTAGTTACCATAACAACATCCGCCTCTGTATACGTCCCAACTCAGGTTACTGCGCAACTTTCACCAGCTTCGATTGAAACATCCTCTGCCACTGCCTACTCCGGCACCCTTTACCTTTGGGAGACATGGTACCTTTCCGAGAGCGCGGCGCCTTTCACGTCAACGTCGGACTACTACTACTCTGTCTATATGGCGGATTGTAGTACACCTCCGGGATCGTACAACACTCACACCTCGTCGTCTGGCGGCTCAAATCGCGGCAGCTCAGACAACGACGACAGTGACAGCGACAGCTCATACGACAGTTGCTACTACTATTACTGTAGATCTCGTGTGATTACATGGATCATCATCATTGCATGCATAATCCCCGGGCTCTTCCTACTTGGATTCCTCGAGTCTTGGTTCTGGTTCCGTCGCCTCATGCTCGGTAAGAGTGCCATGCGTTTTGGTACGGTCTGTTGGATTCTCATGTCGCTCTGGGTACTTTGCTTCACTCGTATGCAAGATCGCCGAAGTGCTGAAGACCAGAAGATGTTGGCTGAGAGGTGGAAGAACATGGGTAGCGGAGCGGCTTTCAAGGCTTGGTGGAAGTGGGGATTCCGTCATAGGTACCCTGAGGAGTTGCTGGGTCAGTTCAGCAAGACCACCGTCGGCTTCGTACCGCCCGGACAGCCGCTGTATCCGACAATGGCACAAACACCTGGTGCTTCCCAGCCTATGGTCCCTGGTCAAGTTTACTACTACGGCCCTCCGCCTCTGGGCTGGGTCATATCACCGAACGGAGGCTTCGTTCCACCTCAAGGCTACACATACCCACCTCCTCAGCAAGCTGGCTACTACGGCGATATGACTAAAGCTGGACCGGTGGTGTCTCAATCTCCCGTTTCGGCAGTGGGCTACCCACAACCGCAGCAGCAGATGGGCAATGTCTCTCCTGTAGCCCCTCAGGTCCCTCAGGTCCCTCAGGCCGCGCATACTGCTCCTCAGAACGGCTCTCATACTCCTACGCCATATGGCGCCCCACCGAACGTGGGTACAATGCCATCACAAGCACCACCTCGAAGCCCCTCACCCGAGGGACCATCACCTCCACTTCCACCACGACCTGTGGCTCTGGCAGCGCCGCAGACTCCACCTGTGAACTTGAGCGATGCGACAACTACAGACGATGCAGCAAAACAGGAGCCCACCGCACCGGCTACTTCTCCTCCTCCGCCGAAGAACGACCCCAACGACCGGAGCTTGTATGAGTAGGCTTATCAGTCAACTCAATGTAATGAGACTCAATGAGTCAAGAAAGTAGACCACATTGGTCATGAAGAAAAAGTAGTCGCAGTTTAGCATAGTTCTCCCTGAGCGTTTCGCGTACAGATACCCTAGCTCGGAGTCATTTTTCTACGTCATCAATGCGACGACGACAATACACACTGTAATATGGTCACTATCATCACACACTTGACACATAACTTCCACACTCCTTCAAGATTATGCGATCTCGTTCTCTCATCGAGTTTCCAAACTTGACAGTCCTAATGGGTTTAATATATATTGCCAGATCACGGATAGTTCATGATTCAGCTGGTATAGCCCTCGTGACGCGATTCTTGTGTCTTTCAGTTTCGTCTAATGTAATGACACTGATCATCGTGTCATGACGCCAGGAGTCAAAAACGGGTATGCGTCATATTAGACATAAAAGCCCAGATCGAGTGTCTACATCATGTTTCTCAAGCACCAACTTCATCATGCCAAGGAGCTCTCATGAGAAGGAACCTCGTTTGCACGAAGATCTTGCAGAGTTAAAGCCAGAGCCTTACCCAAAGCTCCAGCTCCAGGACCTTGGACTTCCAGCCGACGAAGTACGTCATGCGAAGGAGCTTGAAGACCGAGTAATAGGTCAGTAACTTGATCAACTCCTCCAGAGGTCAACTTCACAGCTAAAGACGCAAAATTCCAGAGCAGAAAAGGATAGCAGATCCAGAACTTACTCGGGACGATCCAGACAACACCATCTGCATCTGTTGGGAGACTACCAAAACGGAGGAGAGGACGAAATACCGGGCAAGCCTCGGAACCAGCCGAAATCCCACCATCATCATTTCAACCAATATAAGTGACTGGCATACGAACGCCGTTGAGGCGCTCCACGATCTCGATGGGAAGGTCATGCCTGCACGTTGCTCGAATGAGCCCGAGACGAACAGCATCCAAACAACCATCGACGGCGACGAGACCAACAGGAAATATTATGGAGACTTGCAAGGGTAAAGAGCTGTCTAAGACACTGCATTTGGGGTACTTGTACACAGACCTGCTATAGATGAACAATCGCTAAATACGAACGGTAGAGACACTCATCCCGCGACCCAGACGAAAACTGTCCCAGTTGTCAAACTATCTAGAGGAGAAAGCAGACTGGAACGTATGACCATGGGTAAGCTATCACTTCTTCTTGAAACGGGTGGTATCGATGCTCACATTGACGAGACATAGAGCGAGAGAAGAAGTTGAACTCCTCAAAATACGAACATGGTCATAATTACATCTGGGTACATTGGGAACGAATTTTGGAACCAAGTGGAGAAGCGAAGATTTCAGTGAGTCTTGTGAGACAGGGCGGCGACGAGTTTCTCCATGAAGGGAGTATGGTGGCGACAAGTCGTTCGAGTAGAACAGCAAGGAAAGCATTGATGGATCTCTATAAGCAGTACGATAAAGATCAGCTCATCGAAGGTACCTGGCAGCGTTTTCTAGAACGGTGGTCGATATCGCGGCTGGGCCTGTCTTTGCCTTGGGATTCTGGTATGAGGATCAAGTTACTGGGGGCATGCAACTAATACATGATATCACGCATTTTAAATTTGATGATAGCTTCTGTTTTTGAACCCTTAGATAGATTGCGCATGGTTTCGCAATTTAACATGGTTGTACTCACCAGACTACACAGATAACCTTGTTACGACTTCACGGAAGAGAAGAAGTGAGGATAGTCCTAGGGTTGCGACAACCCACTCATATCAATCTTCATAGTCAGACAAGCCTTCTACATCATGTGAGCTTTTTATTGAACACGTCCTTCCGTGAGTAAAGTACTGAGAGTCATTACGTGCTCTTACTCACCACCAGTCACTATGGAAACCATGAATCACAGCATCTATAAGAGGCCACAACATCGTGAAAGAATGCTATTACAATTGATAGCTCCAACATGCCAGCAAAAAATGCCATAAATGGTGTGTTCGTCGAGAGTCTGGAAGAAATGAGTACGAACGTCAACCACCGAAGGCCTTCTCCGAGACGTACAAACCCACCAGCAGCGCAAACCGAACTGTCAGCCACACAATTCAAGGAACCAGACTATCGAGATGGCACGTTTGTTATAGAGCCACAGGAAGCCGCCTTTGCCAACGACTTTGACTTCAAGTCCTCGGCAACGTCCAGCACACAGAATACTGGGAAGGAAACTCTGCTCTTGGAGTGTCCCCTTGGCGACGTATCGGGAAAAGACGAGAGTTACATCAAGAGCATCAAAGGTATGACAACGCTATCACTATGGTGTCTCAGTCTGCTACTAACTGGAGAGAATTTTATATGCTGCGTGTCCGACCAGATGTAAAAGTTGATCGACATGTCGATATCAAGTGGACTCCCGTGGTTGAAGACAAGGTCCAGGCTGTACTTGTGGTTGGAATGCAGAACGAGATGAGAAGCAAGGCTGCAACAAGCGCGAGGAAAGCATTGAGGGATCTCAAGGGGCAGGTGCAAGCTGCTGGTGGCAAAAGAAAGAAAAGGACAATCTTTCGGCGGTGGATGTTGTGCCGTGGCTAAAGGCAGAGAAAAGGGGGAAATTGTTATGGTATTGACTTCTCTTCGTCATCAAGGTGCAGCTCAACTATCTCAGTACTCAGACACTTCGAGGTGTTAATATGCACGTCAGCGATTTCGTCAGGACAAAGAATAAAGGGCATCTTTCATTGAGAAACTACCTGGGTATGATCAGATGAATCCACCAAGGAAATACTCTCCTCCGCCCAAGAAGCATAACCTTACATCTAACCCTTCTGCTTCGTGAGATCTTCTGGCTTCATATTCTTCCAAAATTTCTGTAGAGCTTGCATGACAGTTGCACCTGTCGCGTGAGCCTCTTCCGCATCTGGAGTTGAACCGATACGAATCTCACACATCATGACCTTGCCCGCGTCATCAAAAAATCGTGTAAACCACAGCCAGCTGCCCAGATTACGGATTCTCTCGGCCGACAGACATGAATTTACTTTTTCTATCGTCATGTGAGTCCAAGTCTAGTGATAGACACTTTGCGTCACGAACCCTGTATGTCCTCAACCAAATCTTTCTCGGTTGGAGAGAAAGAAGGGGCCGAGCCTTTGCCGTGTTCGGCAAGTGATGTATTGAGGAATGTCCAGACTTTGCCGTCTTCAGTGACTCGTGTATTTGGAGTCATGATATTGCCTTATACGCCGATGTTCTTGGTTGTGTGTGTGTGTGTGTGTGTGTGTGTGTCGAAATAAGAGGTAGCAGTCTCGCTTCGGTGGTCAATTTTGTATCAAGTGCAGCGCTCCGGATAACGAAGAATGATGCGGCACAGAATCGCGGCTTTTGTATGAAGCATGAGTCTTGAACGCAGATGACTCTATAAACGACTCATCTCCGCAATGCCACTCACCAATATGGCAAAGTCAGAGAACATGACTCTTTTATCTAACACTGTGACTATTGAGCTGTATAAGAGGTACCTTTATTGCAACAGTGGAAGTGTTTTTCATCGACACTAAAGTCTGGGTATAGCCCTTACTGTTTTCACTTGGTTAAGTAGTAAAGTCGTGCCTGGAAGTTTCAGGTATGTTTTGTGATGAGTACATAAATACAGAAATCGGACAACGAGAAGAGACTGATACATGAGCTTGCCGCTTGGATAACGCATGAACATTGAATGTAGATGACTCTACAGAGAAATCATCATCAAATGTTACTCATCTACGCCGCAGCGTCAGAGTAATGACCTAGCTATCGTAGACAGTGACTCTTGCACTGTATAAAGGGACGAAGACCTCGGTATCATAGCACTAAAGTTGCACTTCCTCACAGACTCTTATACAAAGTTTGAATGGTCTTCGTCCAAATCTTTAGGCGATAGCTTTGCATTCCATCACTCTAATAATCACCATGAGCGAGAACGACAGCGACAGCGACGGTGGTATATCCCTCCGAGACGACCAGAAGCCTTACGAGGGACTCGTAGAAACTTCAGTAAAGCTTCGAGATCTCATGAGCCGCAAGCTGTCCGATTACCAAGATGTTGGAGCAAAGATTGTTTGCATGAACAGTATGCCAATCCAATTTTTACTCCGACACGAGAGTGCATATGAAGAGAGCAACGCTAACGTAGACATTTGGTATAGATTTGCTGAAGGAGATGGATCCTGATTACGGCGACCGTAAGCAAAAGCCTTATAAGAGAATCAAAATCACCTACAGAGAGTATCCGAACACTGGCGAAGAGATCAAGGCGGGGAAGAAGGAATACGAGGTTGCCGTTAAGGTGAAACGCCCCGGATCGTCTCGCCGAATCACATTGTCAAAAAGGAGGCTAGACGAAGCTGTGGACGGAGTGCTCAGCGCTGTGAAGGAAGCGAGAGAATGTATGACGTGACCGCCTTGCTAGCAAAGTGCGACTATACCTAGGTATACGTGCTACACCTCTAGATAGGCAGTCAAAACGCACAAGACAGTGGCTCGACGATGCAAACACGATGTAAAATCCTGACTAAACCGTCTAATAAACCCTATCTTTCTGTTGAGAGATTCAAACTCATATGTTGAGCGAAGTTCTCTCGAGTTTGCTGTGCAGATGCAATCTCAGCGTGATTTGCGAGGGTCAATTGTACACTTACATCGAATGTCTTCCACGGCTCTCTTCTTTTTACTTAATATCGCGGGTCAACTCAGCGTGCCGTGGTCTTGGGGGAAGTTCCAGGCGATCGTGAAACTTTTGAATGCGGTGTGTCTGTATTTGCCTGTGTACCAAGTATGTCAATTAAAGTCATAATTGAGTGATGCGTAGGAAACTGAAGCTACTCAGTAGTTGGTGTGGCAGTTAGTGTCCATCGCCTTCTCAAGACTCAAGCTTGCTCTTGACATTGCGTCAGCCATGTAAATGACACTAATCTCATCCCAAGTAAAGTAGAACGTATTAATGTATGCACCAAAGCTGATGCCGAGAGAGCGAGAGAATCAGAAAATCAGTGCAAGCAAGGCCCGTTTGGCAGTCTTCATCTCAAAGACGTGGACTAGATCGAGCCTCTTGCTAGGAATGCAAACCTGTCAAGAAATCGACAACTTCTTTGATAGACACTGTGAGTAAAATGCACCACGAATCGAATGATCGAATGCCCAAAGGACACCGGGAACGATGTATGAGGCCAGCTCTTTATTAGGATATTATAAGACTAGATGTAGTCGAAATGAGTGTGCTCTAACCTTAAGAAATAAGTCCAAGACAGTTTCTGATCCATATCCACCAACCGCCCATTAACCGCCATCACAACATCCCTAACACAACACCCCTAATATGAAATCCCTGACACACCATTCCTTATCGAAAGACTCAAGCCTCGTAATCATTAAGACTACCCCGACCTTTCCTTCCTCAAAACATCATCGTCCAATCTCTCCTTGAGATCGTCCAAAGCTTTCGCAATATAATTCAACTGATTGCCTTGCTTCTCGGTACCATTTGGCAGCGTAAGGGTGATGACATGGCGAACAACGTCTACATCGTTGTCTTTATCGTTGATGCTGTTCAGCACGAAGTTCACGCCCGCGTTGAGAGTATAGTTCGGATCGAGCTTTTTCGCCAGGTCTACATCACGGTTAGATAGACCCTTTTTGCAATGTTTGTATGACAGCTTACCTTCGATGTTCGCAATGGTAATTCTTTGGCTGGGTGTAAGCGAACGGCCGTTGAGGCTGCCCAGGGAGTGTTGTCGTTGAGAAACAGACATGCTGGTCACTAACGATTCGCCGGCGTTTGAAATGACTGCTGGGTGAAGATGATGGGTTGAAGTTCGAGGTGTGTAAAATGTATTCAGGCTGTTGAATGTGTTCAGTCTGTTAAATGATGCAGTGGGTGTCGTTGTGTTCTACTACTTGCCTACGAGAAACCGCCAGATTTATACCACTGATGACTCCCATTAGAGAGACCCGGCCGTCGATACAAGTCATATCTGAATGGTTTCCCTATGTGTCCTTGCACGGAAATGACTGTAATCATGCTGTTTAGAGTGTCGAGATGTAGGTGTTTGGGGCCATCATATACCCATGGCGCGGGAGAAAGAGGAGATCGGTAGCAGCTAAGACATGTATGATAGGGCAAGCGGCCAGAGTCTAGTCACCGCAGTCACGAAAGAGGGGAAGAGGCTCATATAAGAGGAGTCTTCGATGGTGCAGGTCACTGTCTGTGGCCATAGAGGTATAGTCTGGCTGAGCGTCTCTATCGTGACTCTACGACCCAGGGCAGACTACGGCCTATATATCCTTGTGGAACAGTGACAAATACTGGCTGTAACACCATGTTAGAAGATGATATCACCATATGGCTACGATCAAGGCAGCAAAGGGCTCCAGCGTAAGTGAAGTGTAAGACACGGCACGGCAGACAAAGACTCGTGGACGCGCACATACATGTTGGCAACCACTACAGCGTAATTGACTCTCGGCTATGACGGAGACAAAGAAGAAGACGGGTAGTGTGATCATTTGGCGACGCGGAACTCAAGAGGGATGGGATAGTCCTGTCGAACATGCTGCTGCGGTCGAGTGACACGCTATGTAATTGTAATGCAAGGTATCTTCGACACACCTTGCGATAATTGCAGCTGTATGTGCGCTCTTTCTTCAAGTTTCAGTCACTGACACTAGAGCTGTGAAGTAGGTTGCGTTCAATAAGAGAGACTGGATGAATGAGACATATTCAGGTATTGGTATCTATCTTCGCGCTCAACATCAAGCAGCCAGCAGAACACTACAAGAAGTGCAGAATAGGACGCACGAGGGCGTACGAAAGAATCACAATCTACGCAAGCCAAATGCGATGCATGATATCCCAAGGCATCGATCCAAGAAAAGAGAAGAGAGAAGAAGAAAGAAAAAGTACTCCGACATGCCAGGCTCCAGCGTCCAGACATCGAGCTAAGAAGTATGTGGGAAAGAGAAAAGGAAAAGTCAAAACTCTGCTTCAACCACAATCGAAAAAACATTATCGTACAAGCGCCATCAAGAAGCGTGAAAAAGGGTATGGTGTGTATAGCGTTTCCATGTTGTGCCATTAGTATCCGTACTGTCGTCTAGCCGTAGCGGCGCGTGGGCGGCGTCCACCAGAACCAGGGCCAATGTCGATACTCTGCAGCTCCAAGCTGAGTGCCATGTCCTCGTTCTGTGTACCGTAGCCGCCGCCATTCATGTCCATGGGTACCTTTGCGGGGATGGGCGGTGCCGCGACACTGTGCCTTTGGGTACCACGTCGGTCATAGCTAGGGCTGCTGCCGTAGCTGTTGGGGGTGTCGCGTTCGCGGAGGACCTGTCGGTCTGGGAGTTGGTACTGCGGTGGTGTGTCGTAGGCGGATACGGGGCGTTGGTCGCGCCTTGTGGGCCTGCTGCGTGCAGTTGGATTGGGAGGTGCGTTGTGCTGGCTCTGGCTTGCGAGGACCAGCGCACCTGCGTTCACAGGCTGGTTGTAGTCGTTATTGAAGTCGTGTCTCGTGGTGACTAGCGCGTTGCTGTTGTCGAAGTTCATGCTGGCTGCATGGCGAATGCGTTCTCTGTCGGCACGCTCTCGTTGATATCGTTCCTCGCGTTGCATCGCGGCCTCGAGGTCTCTGCTGCCATTAAGCTGAGCTCTTGTGCGAGGAGCCTTCTCCTTCACTGTGCCCTTTGGTACTGGCTCAGGCGCCCAGTTGTCGACAGGTAGATGGTCGGACGCATCGACAACCCGGCCACTGAATGTGACAATCTGACCCTTGTCGTTGTACTCCATGCGACTGCCTGGCCGCTCGAGCTCATCGTCCGAAGGTATGGGAGACTTGCTCATACGAGGGTTGTAGACATCGAAACTGTCGGGGTTGAAGGCTACTCCAGACAGTCGTCGCTCACCCATATCCTCTCTGGAAGGCGGTGGGCGAGGTGAGACTGACTTACGCGTCGGCATACTTCTCGCAGGCAACCTAGACGAGCGATCGGTAGCCGGGTTAGGAGAGTGTCGTTCCATCTCAGGGTTCGGAGAGTAGCGATCCATGATCGGATTGGGCGAGTAGCGGTCCATTGCTGGGTTGGGGGAGTAGCGTGAGCCCACGTTAGGGCTTGTAGCACGCGGCTTGATGATCGGGCCGGCATCGTAAACTGGGGGAGACATCTGTCGAGGCTGCTCAGGCGGGTCATGGGGATAATAATCGTTCGTTTGGTACGCGGAATGATGAACCAGTTCCTGCGACTGAACGGGGTCTTCGTACTGAGTGATGGCCCGATACTCGGCAGGCTCAGAGTAGTGGCGCAGTCTCGGTGGTGTCTCGTACGATGGAGGCGCTTCGTAAGGTGGCGCTTCAATCTCCTGTCTTTGCGGGTTGAGTCCAGCGACAAGAGCACTCGGTAACGCCGGTGCTTCCTGTCGCAGGGTTTCTTGTCGTAGCGGGGATGGCACCATGTTGTCGCGAGACACTGGACGACTTGATGGCTGCGCTGGCATGCGAGGATGAGTGTAGCGTCGCTCTGCAGGTTGTCGGGGCGCGTAGTTATCGGCCTCGTATTGCTGGGGCGGCATGTCGTAGCTGAACTGACGGGGCTCTTCACGGGATCTCGCGGAGAAGCTGAGGGGCGCGGGTGCTTCTTCGCGGTAGCGCTCGCGCTCGTGGTTCTCTTGGTTCGGGTGAGGTAACGTGCTGGCATTACGCTTGTGCATTGGTGGCGGTGGTGGCATATCGTCCTCGTCTTCGACCATGGGCTGCATGGCGCTGCGTCTCCGATGCGTAGGGCTCTCATCTAGTAGGGGAGGAGCCTCGATGAACCGTTGGCCATAGTATTGGTCGAGTGGTGGAGCCGGTTCCTGCGCGTGCTCGCGGCTACGACTGCTACGCAGGGGTGCAACCTGATAAGTCGGATCCTGGTATTGGTCTTGGGCGTATGACTGAGCTGGCTGCGGCGGGGGCTCAATTCGTTGAGGCTCAGACTGCTGATGCTGGAGTAGCTGTTGCTGCAGGTACTCGATCTGCTTCTGTTGCTCCTGCAGTCTTTGCGATTGCGCCGGAGACTCATAGGCGTGCTGTGTTGGCACAATTGGTGCCGAATGAGAATGTACTGGCTCGGGGTGCTGCAGTGCCTGGCTCCGAGGAGATCTACCGTCTTCCTGCGACAGCCTTCTCTGGTCTGAGTGCCGGACATGTTGTGGCAGCGGATCGATCGGCTTCACCTCGTATGGCTTGGGCGCGGCGTAGGACATGTCGAAACTCTCTTCCCTTGGTAGGGGCATCCTCTGGACTGATGAGCGCGGGTTCGGCGGTGTGCTGTAGGAGGTTTGCGGTACAGGGCGCTGAGGAGTGTTCTGGCTCGATGACGATGCGGGGTTTAGGGGGGACGCGTCTGGTATGGGCCGGCGGGAGGGCGTGTCGGCCGGGCTGCGCTGCGTTGGTGACGGCTCGGTTGCTGTTCTTTGGTGTCGCGGGGAGCCCAGTTCTCGCGGACCAGCCCTAACGCCCCGCAGTCCTCGGTGCTCTGGTGTGTGTACTGGTGATGGCGTCGAGCCTGTGGGGTCGCTGGGCAGCGGGCGCCGCTTGACGGGTGCCATCTCTCGCGCTCCACCCACAGCAGCCTGTCCTTCGGGCTTGGTCGACTCCCTCCTCTTCTGCAGGACCGGCTTCTCGCTCTTCTCGCGGGTGTCGTAGTAGGTGATCTCCATTCGGATCTCGCCAGCGTACTTGCCCTTGCAATTGAGGCCCAGCCACTCGTCGCTCTGGCCTCCGCCGGGGGTGATGACGGAGTTGAGGTTCGCGAAGGCCTCGCCAATCAGCTCCGTCTTCTTGTCGTCATTGAAGACGGAGACCTTGAGGCGGTTGTAGTCGGGCGAGTCGTGGACGGTGAAGCGCAATTCCTGGTCCCTGCATATGTCAGTTGCGGGTGTTCGAAACTCGTCGAAGGCATACATACCATCGCGGTGTCTGGCCGCCGCGTTTGTCGGTCTTTGTCTTTTTGGCTTCCTTTCCTAACCGGGCAGCGCAGTACGGGTCCTGCTTGCCCATGGTTCTCTTGTTAGGCAGGTTGCGGGCGCGGTCCATGATGACAACCAGGGTGCCTATTACCGGCCCGTCGACCGTCATATCGGAAAAGATGCCCGCGGCGTGGGCGCCGCCGAAGCTGGGGACGTTCATGGCTTTGGTCGCCATGCTGAGGGAGTCGCCCGGGTGCGGGACTCGCGGAGGGCAGGCGCGTCGAGCGAGAGAGTGCGGTGGTGGGTGGCCGCGGGTGCAGCGTCGATGGCGGAGATAAGGCGCATTCGCTGCAATTGCAGGACAGAGTGGGTGGAGTCACAGCGAAAGAATGAGAGAAGCCAAAACAAAAGAGCGACGGTGCAGAAAGAGAGGTTTGGCGTGCTAGCAAGCGTGTTTGGGTGGATCGGGTTCGGCGGGTGTTGTTCTATTCCTATGTTACGCATCCTCATGTGGCTGGTTCCAGCCTCTCTGGCCCCCGCAAGCACCAATCACATGCCCTGAGCCACCATGTGGACCTAACACGCCTTTCCCCGGTCAGATCATTAAGGCTGAGAGGGTCGTCCCTTGCAGACGCGAAGTCTCAAGTTTCTTGTTTCGCTCCATTCTGCTGCGAACGCCTGTCGCGCTATTGTTTGCACTCCTTTGGGCCTATGTCATATCCTGTGGCTGGGTCGCCGAGTGCACTCCTCGCCTCACTAACCACGACGCGTCTCGGCTGTGACGGGCTCTCCTGCATACAGACACGCGTA